ATCGAATTAACTATGACATATCTTATGAGACTCGAACTTAAGAACTCAAGGTAGTAACGATATGCGTAATGAGCCTAACTAAGACATTTCTTGCAATATTCAATCTTGACAACCCAGTGTATTGACCGCTGAAATACTAGCTCAAGGGTTATACTTTCAGCCGAATTTAGCTCTAGGTCTGGTTTTTCTTATTTTGATGGGGGCAATCCACCCAAATGTACACACTTGTACACTTCTATTATTATCAATACGATTTACATTTCAAAAAAAATATTAGTCACTGAAACTCTTACATCCAAATTACCCTTACGAGTGACGTTTTCGAAATTAGTTACAAATGAAAGGTTTTAGAGGCTTGACAATATGATAAATATGTGATTTGAGGGTGTTTTCTGCCTCAATTAGTTTGTTATTATACATGAAAGGTATGTGATTTGATGAGCTAACCAACATACTTTATTAAGAGAAAAATGGATAGTTAGAAACTCCAGAAATGTTAAACCGCTCTTGTGATGTAAAGATTAGTATAGAATATGATGAAATTGAATTAGTTAAGAGGATTTAATCACACTTTGATTCTTAAAAATGCTTGAATTTTATATTTACACCCTCAAAGATTTTAGTTTTCAACTTGCACCCTCAATGTCTTACAAAAAAACTGTAATGTAACACAAACTCAAAACTACCGTTCAGGCATCTGTTTAAATAAGTGGAGCAAAAACGACAACAAATTGCGTTTTCATATGCAAACTAAACGACAATTTGACTCTGGGCTGGTCACATTGCAGATATTTTTTAAAAAATAAGAATTAAATTCTTTCAGAGGGTAAATTAAAAAATTCGAGCATTTTTTAGAGTGCAAGATGAAATTAACCCTTTAATTAATCAGTCAATTGATTCTCCTTGTGGACCCTTCGAATCCCTTGATTTTGGCTTCATCAATGGATTATTACTCATATACGTCATTTTGGAACATTATTAATTTCTCAATCCTTGTCATCATCGATTCTTAGTAGTTATTTATTAAAAAAAGAAATCAGGAAATGGATTGTATTCCACTGATCAGAAGTGATATTTTTGATAAAGTTGCAAATGGAACCAAGTTTTTTTGTGAATAATTTGGATTGCACTCGGATTGAAGATGTTGGGAATCGTATATTATATGTGGAAGCTTATGATCAAAGACATACTTTTCTCGCTTTAATTCGATATTTTTGGAGGATATTCTACGTTCTTTAAAATCCAGAATCGTATTTTTTTTTTTTAATTATTGTTCGATTAGTATGATGTTGTTACACAAGACAAATCAACACTGGATTTTCACAGCACAAAAACATTTGTTTAACGTTATGTAAGAAGAGAGAAAGAGAATAGGAGACTTTAACATTAGCAATTTTTTGATGATGTCAATTGGTTGATTTAGGGTTTATATACGCAACTAATAGGTATCTCAGAGAAGGACATGTCTGTCAATAGTTTCACAAACACATCCTATAGGTGGTAAAGGACTATTTTAGGTGCCATGGACATTCTCTAATTAAGTCGACCCATCATGAACACCTTAGTTCAGGCCCATGACCTAACCAATATATAACAGAAGTTCATACATATATAAAACGAATTGAACTTGATGAGCCAAGCTTTAGCAATGACAAGATAAATGAGTCAAACTTAATCTTGAACGCGAGTCTGCCTTGAGTTTAATTTCAAACAAGAGTTTGAGCTTGGTTCGTTTTAATCAAATGAGTAAAATGGAGCCAAACCAAGTCTAAGTTTGAGAAAAAAAAATATTTATATTTTAAGATCGATTTTTATTTTTTTCGAACCGATTGTTTAATTTTCTTGAACTTATTATATAATAATTTTACTATTTATGACACAGATTTTTGTGTAAATTAATCTATAACCACGATAATCGTGAGGTTATATTTATGATTTGTATGGAAGGACATAATACTCCCACGTCAATATGACTTTGCATGGGCTGTATATGAGGTTGATATTTCTTAGCCTTTTAATAACAATAGCCTTAAGATTCCATAAGCAATCAAGAACCTACACTTGTCGGTGGGCCACCAAGATATTGGAGGCATCACACCACATTCAACAACTTTATCTATCATTCACTTATTTTTATAATAATAATAATAATTATTATTATTATTATTTTCCTTGCAAATAAAAGAGTTTATTACTCTGACCTTACAATAACGTTCAAAACACGCTTATAAAAAAATAAAAATATAGAATAATGAAAAGTTAGAGGGATAGATAAAATATCATATTTGATAAAAAAATATCAGAATGATGAAAAATTAGATGAATTAACTTTCTTTCTAACTCACCAAAATAAATTATTTCAAAATTAGGAGGAAAAATTGATAAAAAGTTAATTATCTATATATCATTTGATTTATACATATATCATATTTATCAATTAGATATTATGTATATATATAATGATAAAATATGTATTTATATTTTTTCTAACAAAAATTGAAAAAAATTTAAAAATAAAAAAATACTTTTTCATCTAATCAGACATAAAAAAAAAATTAATTATTCCTACTTTTCATCCGTCTTATCAAATACAAAAGAAAGAAGAAAGAATTCCTCTTTTGAAGGATAACATTTTTTCGTTATATGAAATTTTGCCCCTTAATTTGATAGAATCCTTCCCTTTATATTGGAGTTGCTCGTGGAATTAGTATAATATCACTAAACGCTTATGCACACCACCACCCGTGTTGGTGGATGAGAGAGAGAGAGAGAAATCTATAATGACTATAGATGGTTGTGCACAATTGGAGAGGGATTTATGGGGGAAAAAAATTGAAACTAACTTATGGGTGATTAAGAGTGGAAAAAACAAGAATTTCATAGATATCTCATGTAGAAAAGACACTAGACCCCCAATTTTCCTTCGTTCAATAATAAATGGAAGAGAAATCCAAGAGGTATAGACACATCATAGCAATTGATTCCATCTAAGTACATGATGGTTTTCTTAATATGGTAGAATCGTGACAAAATTAGGGTTTTCTCCATCTAAATCTCTAAAATGTCTCTTATGTGGTGGACTCTAATTGCTCGGCTCAACCTTTCTTCAAACTCGATACTCACAAGTTAAAACCTTGTCACATCGATTCGAGCCAGCTAGCTAGCTCGGAATTCACTCATCAAACTCTCTTAAACAAATTAATGACATTAATTGTAGCAATTCATATCAATGTGCATGAAAGATACAAAACCATGGTGGGTGAGGGACAAGGACCATATAATAAGATATAGCTGGTTTGAAAACTCTCTAGATAAGGCAATTGGTATCATAATTACAAGAGTGGTTAGTTACCTCTTTTCAAGTCTTCTCATTGAATAAATTCAAATTAATGGATCCAAAAATCTTGTTAGGTTATCAACATCTCTAGGTTTGTTAGTGGTGGCCCTAAGAGGAGGGTCATAGCTTTAAAACTTATTATGAGAATGTAATTACATGGGTGACACACAAAATAACTACTAGAGTAACACAATTTGAACTTAATAATCTGATGTAATTTACTGATGCAATTCATTGTTACATTATATAAATAACGAGTCTCATTAGTAGAAGGAGTTCATTGTCAATCAAATAACATCAATTCGTGATGTTCTGAACTCAAATAACACTATTAAGGTGAAGAGTCATCGCCTTCGTAGTTTTTCCTAATATTATTTGAAATTCTCATGATTTTCACTTGAACATTTTTAACTCTAGTTGGAAATATTGTTCAACATTTCACACTTGCATAAAATTTCAACCATCAAAGTGGGGTCATATATACCATAGATAATTAATTAATCATAGAATCAATGTTTAAAATTATTTGTATTGATGTGAATCGGTGAGAAGTTGAGTCAATGAATATTTGAAAGCCTATGATCTTGTTTGAATTAAGCTTAGCTGATTTAGGGGACGTGCTGAAATTGATTAAGGCATTTTTACATATTTTGGGATGAATAAAACCATTCTTTCCTAATTTTTCAAAGCTAGAAGCGTGGTAACCCATATCTACCATGCATCGTTTTGTAAAGTTTGTATGAAAGTGTTTGATAAATGATCTCTACAAATTCATCATACGACATTTTTTAAAGCTCACACGGGCCTAGTTCAAAGTATATAATATTGTACAATACCGATCGAAAGAGCAAATGACCCTCGTAGTGTGAAAGTCATGTAGTATATATGTGCATCCACGTTCAAAGAGTGAAAACCATCTTACCAGGACACGTGTGTCTGACATTTTCCAAACATTTGTAGACCTAGCTTGCCTCCAAAACGGGTAAGAAATGCTACTTTAAATTCTTCATATCCAGCAGATCCAACAAGAGCTTATTTCATTTTCATGAAGGGTCCCCTATAAACTCTGTTAGTTAGGCTTCCTATAAAACCATAACATGTGAATCCATATATAGCTTTGTATAAAGGAATACCAGCTTAATCCCTCCTTCTCTCTATCGTCAATTAGTGTAGTGTTGGAGAGATTTTTACTTGATCATTACATCTACCCACAACCGTCATTCTTAGTCGTCGTATTTGACTCTTTTGTTCTTTTTTAAACCTTTGCTCTCTCCGATAAACTTGGTTTTATTATTACTAATTCAATTTTGTGCATGTTTCACTTGTGAAATGAGTACGGAAAAAGAAAAGCTATTCTAGTTCTAGCACACAAAAGAGAAGAGAAACAAACCAAATGGTAAAACAAACATGTTCATAGACTCACTGTATATACCTTCCAAGTTATAATTTTTATGCCTCAATTGAATAAAATAGGTTTTTTTATTTGACTAATTTTAGTGTTGTCTGTACCAAAAATAACAGTGTAGTGCACAAAATTATTTTTAAAATACATTTGTACCCTTGGCAAGTATCTCAAACCCCTTCCAATGGTGCGCGTGGGGACAAATCATCTAGTTTCCATTCCTTTAATATCAGCCTCTCCCGTACCCTTTAGAGGTTGACGGCGATTTTTCTAACTTATCTTTATTTTACTGTTACTTCCATCTCTCTCTCTCTCTCTCAGCTCCGTATTGACGCGACAAATCTTTCAAAATCCAAAACCAAAAGTACACCAAAACTACGCGTTCTTTCTCTTTCTCTCTCTTTCTCCAAAACCCTAGCTTCTCTCACCTCTACCATCTCTCCGTGTTCGCCTTGAATTGAATCCATTTCAATTCTCATAGTCTGAATCTGCTGGATACTTATATATAGATCGTTGTCGGAGATATGGATGAGAAGGACAAGGTCAATCCGGCGAACGAGTTCTCGATCCAGTCGAGCTGGGGACTCGGTGGCGACTCGGACAGCGTTTACAGCTTCTTCGGAAATGATAGAGAGAGCACCATACTGAACGAGTTCGGGTGGAATCTTCAGACACCGGACACCGCTGGTAGTGAAGCCGGCGGTATCAGAGAGTTTGATCCGATCGAGTCGGAATTGGCGGGAAACAGCGCGGTTCAGTCTTTGCCGGAGAGAGATAGTGCATTTCAGGAGGTCCAAACCGGAATTATAGAGAAAGTGGGCGATGCATCGATTTCGAATCCGTCGGTGTCTTCGAGTTCCTCTGAGGATCATCCGGAGAAATCGACGGCTTCAGGCGGTAAACAGCCGTCGGAGACAGCGTGAGTGTGTGTTGCGTGGAGTACAGTACTACTACATGTGTGTCCGTGGGGCTAAATTAGTAATTACGCCCATTATTACGGGCAAACCACAAGCTCAAAATCCCAAATTTTCAGGGAAAAAAATTTTATTTATCTTTTTTTTCTAATTTTCGAGGAAGGAACGCAAACCGATGCCATTGCGTGTCCGTACTCCCTCTAGAAGCTTCAAGTTGGGCACGCAAGTGGGGAGGTATTTGTGTAATTAACAAAAATTAAGAGGCTTTTTTTTGATAAAACAAAACTTTAGGTTTGGAACACCGCCGTTATTGCGGCGGAAATGGCGTGGTGTAACTTTTGTGCATATTTTAATTTGAAATGGCGGTGCATTTGTTTCACGAGAAAAGTGTGGAAAAAAAAATAAAGTATATAGAAGAAAAGTGAGCATATACATATAAAATCTATCTTTTTCTCTACTATTTTTTTATGCATTACTTGAATAAATACACATATATAGTTGAGATTCGGTTTTCTATTGATAATTTTTAATAATCGAAGTAGCGTTGATTAAAACGAATTGTTTTATAATACAATCACATCATTTTGATCGATATCAACCATTAATTTTTTAACAATAGAGAATCTTTGACTCGTATAGTACACACATATATATAAAATTTCTTGCTGTTTCTTCAGTTATTGTATGCATTAATTTTTAGCATCTGCCTTTTTTTTTTATTTTTTTCCGTATCTACATTGCCACACATGAAATGTACTACGTGGGTTGCTTGACATAATGCTTCTTAGATAGCGTTTGGTGGTGTGTCATGGGTAGGTCTCTCCATCACCTTGTGGTCCATTGTACCAGAGCTTCAAGTTAATCCTCTTTGATGCCATCAGTTCGTTATTTGTGTTTTGGAAAAAACATTTTTAGCTAACCCAAAAAAAAAGAAGCACTACATGAAAATAGACAGAAAAACTGAGTTCAGGATTTTGTGGCATCTTCCCATATCTCAATCTATCTCTATCCTTCATTGACACCCTTTGAATGTAGGTTTAGTCTTTATAAAAGGTATCCCCAGTGCACATTATTCTCGTTATTGCAGGTCCAGCGAGAATTAGATATGCACAGTCTTACTCTTTCAAGCAGAAAGGTCGATTCTATATTTCTTTGTAAAAAATTTAGTCTTTTTATTTCCCCAAAAAAGTAAAATTGAGGCACTAATAAATGGGACACATAAATGTTGTCACTTTGCAAAACAGGTGGGCATCACCAAATTCGTATTTGTATGGAGTGATATGAAATGAAACAGAAGGGATGCTTGAAAATCTGGTAGTTATTATTTATTAATTGTTGAAGGATCACTTCTATAAGTTAGTTTGGTAGTAAAAAGTTTTAAAGTTTCAGTCCTGCCCTCCTCTTTTTTTTTTGGTTAAATCCTCTTTTTTCTTCTTCTGTTAGGGATATCTGTTAACCTTGCTTCTCAGGATGCTATTTATATCTCTGACACATGCCAACTTTCCGAACTGTTTAAAAATACTTTGGTTTGGTTAAACCAGTTACTTAATCTTCTTCATCGTATCAAATACAGAAGGACTGCCAATGATGCTGGATTGTTGAGTTCTATTCATTTGTTCTTTGAAAATTCTTTCTATTTTTGTATTCTAGATTTTATATAGAGTAATTTGCCTATTGATAATTCTAGGCTTAATTTTTGCAGGAGCAAGGTCAAAAAGAAGGGGCAAAAGCGGATCCGACAACCACGTTTTGCATTCATGACTAAGAGCGAAGTTGACCATCTTGAGGATGGTTACCGATGGCGGAAATATGGACAAAAAGCCGTTAAGAATAGTCCATATCCTAGGTCTGTCTTTCCTTTTTCTTCAACAATTCACCAAATCACTGGCACCTTTTAAGTTATTCTCCATTTTTGAATTCACTTACACCTCTGTTTACTTTGAAAGTGTTTAATTTTGATGTAGATCATAGTGATTTAGGTGTTTGCTTTTCATAGGCCTTTCAAAACTTTCCTCCAAAAGTTCTCATGCGTAAGTCAAGCCTTCCTTTATTTTTTTTCTCATTCCTTTTCCTCAAAGTTTTTAAGGTATATCTTCCTTTCAAAGAAAACACTTCTAGTGCTGCAAGAAGAACATATTTTCTTTCTATAATTGTGGCATTAACAAAAATCTGTTAGGATCTGGGCTCGTATACAAATTGGATTCAAAGTTGACCAAAAAGTTTAAGTTCTTGAGTAAATCAGATTTTTTCAATGGGTTTTTTTCGGGTGGAATACTTGTAAGTTCCCCCTTGTCCACATATTTTTCGATGTAGCACTTTTTAGTTGCCCTTCATTTACTTACTTTTGTGATATAGCATTTTCTAGCTATTTTTTATTCAAAAAAAAGCTCGTAGGATCTTTGAGCTCTAATATAATTGTTAGAATTTGGACTCGTAATCTAATTAAATCCAAACCTATCTCAAAAGTTTTAAGGTAAAAAAGAGTTTGTTTCAAATTTTGTATGATATATCTTTTTCAGTGCGTAGTTGATGTCGAGTGGCATCTAGAGAAATGGAATAATTTTACAAGAAATACAGATTAAACATCATACATGTGGGTCATTTTTTTTGGTAATTAGAAGCAGAAGCAACTCTCAGTCACCATGTGATTTCTATCCACAATAACGATCCGGGGTGCAAATTAACAAAACCAACTTGGTTTTGTTTATTCACGAGTAATATGTAGACTGTGCCAAGTTTAAAATATTTTGCTCAAACTCGACGCATAATTTTTTTTTGTAGCTTGGCCATGGTTCTGCGCATCTGACCCAATGAACCAAAGTGAGGTGGTGTTCAAGTTTAAACTTGAATTTATGTTTGTTTTCATAATTAAACTTCACTTGTTTATGTTATTTTAAAGAGTCTAATGATGTGAACGGAATAATATTCTCTAGGCTTGTTTATTAACCGAGCTTTACATTTGAATTCAAGATCAATTCATTTCATAACTAAACATTTTTGAGCAAGCCTTCATCCATTTGATTAATTTGCAATCCTAATAATGATCAAGAAAGCCGAAGAGCATGTTCAACTAAAGATGACAACGCTAAACATACTTTGACAAATGCTTTGCAGGAGCTACTATCGTTGTACAAACAGCAAATGCACTGTGAAAAAAAGAGTTGAACGCTCGTCTGAAGATCCCACTACAGTAATCACTACATACGAAGGCCAGCATTGTCACCATACTGTTGGGTTTCCCAGAGGTGGTGGATTCATTAGTCATGAAACTACCATTGCCAGCCAGTTAACTCCTTCAGGCTCGCAGTTTTATTATCCATCAATTCAATTTCCTCAACAAAGTTCTCTTGGTTTCAGACCAACACAAGAAGTCCCAGGTGAATCTGGACAAACTCACAGAGTCCCGGATTCAACCCCACGGCTTCCCACCGATGAAGGACTTCTTGGGGATATTGTGCCTCCTGGAATGCGCAATCGATAAAATAAAGGTACACCCAAACCCGCCATAACTTGCTTTTAATTTGAAAATACTTTTTTTTCCCCATAAGAAACAACAATTTATCCATAATCACACACCACATCAAAGGTGGACAAAACGTCCACAAAATAAATAGTGAGTAAAATTTATAAACCACCATAAACTTTTTGTTTGAAAATATTTTTTTATCTTTTTCGCATAATTTTATTTTTAATGGAGAAAATTAGTCGAAGTACGTGTAAGTGAGTCTGAATATCTCTGATCGTTGAACAAAAAAAAACTTATTTAGCCTAGGTAGCACGGGGAAACATGGGTAGTGGATCTAAAACATGAAGAGCAATTAGCACAGTAAAGCCAAGTGGGAGTATCCCCTTTGAAGGAGATTCTATATTATTATAAGATATGTAGCCAGTAATTTTATTTACATCTAATTTTTTGATCTAATTTATTAATCTAATCTAGTATTGTTATTGAATTAGCAGTAGATTCTAATATTAGATAGGGTGGCTGGTCAAACGGCAATGGTGGAGTAGATAATTAAATTCAAATAATATTGTTGATATGTTATTAAGTGCAACAAATCCAAAGCAGTGTATAACAAAACTCGAGTGGTACATGCATTGAAATTGGAGCATACAAGTTTTTATTAAATACATAACCTAACAGTGAATTTAAAATTATTCTAAGATTTGAAGAAAATCATCTAATGTTCAGGGGATCGAATTTCTCAAGTAGTATTTTTGGCTTATATTTTGTTTCCTTCATTTATTCCCCATTCTTCTTGTAATCCCAGTGTGTCTGATGCAGTTTTGATAGTAAAAGTTCTTCTTTCTGAACTAATTTCTCTAACGTAAAAGACAATGTCTATAAAAGGTTTGCATGCTTTGGATTGAAACCGATATTTGGTTCAGGCTATGCAAATGCGCAAAACATATAAGAGACGTCTACAATAAGCTGCACATTTTAGATATAGCCCTCCTTTTCACATTTGGCTTAGGCTATGCACAAGCATTGCATTTTGGTCACTACAAGAAGAATATGCCATTTAGCTTACATCAATAAGGTTTTTATTTTATGTTCTCTAGACCAGAGTTTAGAGTTTCAAAGTGTGGTTTCACCTTCAATGTACTGAGCCACACTAGCACGAGTGATTCTTAAGTAGACAACTTGTAGACTAGCCCCAAGCTATTGCCTAGATGTTTATAGGGCTGCATGATATGACCCATATAGTACATATGTTTATAGATATGGTAGGCCACTGTCTTTGTTTTGAATTTCACATTGTTGTTGTTTTCTTGTGGTCATGCGTTATCATCGACATCATGTTCCTCTTATTGGTTGTAAACTTAACCATCCTTATGATTAGGAAGTAAATTCGATAAATATTAATATTTACACATTGGCCAGTTGCACTTTTAACTGCTTAACATATGGTTCATCTTTGGTACATTAACTATTAATGTAAGTGGACCTGTATGTAATTCAATCGAAAACTTATTCTGGGCCTCTGTGATTCCACTCTTAATTTCTTCGAGAATGCTGATGACACCCGAATCAAAAAAAATTACAAAATTGCTTGTGTCTAGTCAGATAGAACAAAGTCTAGAATTTTAGACAAAAGTTTGCGGCTAAGCTTTATTAAAAGTTCATTTAGAAGTGACTTTCCCTCGAATTGCTTCTTACCCCTAACTTTTTTAAGTTACTTTGAGTCCTTAAAGAAATAGTTCCGACATAACTTTTGTACTAAAATTCCATGAACACTAGAAGCCCTTGAGCATTCCTCTAATTGAATGACATAGAAAGACGGACATAAGTTATGGTGATGAACTTGCCTTCAAGCCTACCTTAAATGAAGTTAAACGTGACCGATCAATGAAAAACCTAAGATTAGTAAATGAGGTAAAACCAAAATTTGGGTTTTATAGAAACATATGCATACACACACACCCACACTATATATATATATAAGCTGTTTATTGGCTAATTAGAAAGAAAAAAAACTATGCCCATCTCCCAACACCAACGAGGTACACTAGCATAAAGTGATAAACCACTCACTCAACTTGCCAAAAGGCAAATCTTGTGGAAATCATCTCATGCAAAACATCAAGGCCTGATAGAAGAAAGCACAATTGCGCATGAAATAAAGAATATATCGAAATCAGATGTAGGTCCCACATAATAATCATGCATTGGATTGCATATTTGCATGTGAGGCCATGCGTATTCCAACTCTACCTAGCTAGTTTAGAACCATATGGACCCACCCTCAAGAATTTACCCAACCCCCACCCCCACCCCCCCCCCCCCCCCCCCCAAAAAAAAAAAAAAAGGACAAAACAATTTATAACCTTTATTTATTTATTTATTTATGGTCATGCAAGCACCAAGTGTATAACATATTTTGCTGCTTTGAATATCTCTCTTGGTAAATCGTGTGGCAGCAGTGTGCAGGCCATACACGTGGAAGATGGTATTGAAGTTGAAGCAGATGAATTCAAATTACACTACTATACTGAAGGAGGGGAGGAGGGGTGGGGGGGGGGGGGGGGGGGGGGTTGTTATTCATGATCATGACGGCTGATGAGGCTGTTTTATGTGAGTAGTTTTACTTTCTGAAACACCTAATTTCAAATTCATTTCGAGTTTTTGACACTCTCATTTACAGTCTCACATCTTCCGGTTTTTCTCCCATGCATGGGATGTCCATCCTATTTTGTATATATATATATGTAGTGCACGGTTCATCTTCTCTGTTACTGCTATCTAGGTTGGAACCTTTGAGCTCAAGATTCACCATACCTGTAAAAAGCAAAACCATACATTTTTGAAACTACGTACCCTTCCACTTTTCTATTTGCCTTATGTATGACATTTATTCAGAGTGAAGAAGAGCAAGAAAACTCAGCAAACTCTTTTTACTCAAATGCATTAAAAATGCCAAAACCAAACAGGGTTAAGCAACTGAGTTGCTGGGTTAAGTCGTACTGTGTTTTGTTGTTCTTACTTCTTTAGGGTAAAAAACAATTTCTCTTAGAGAGAGTACTGATACAGTGACACAGTGATAATGGGTTAGGGTTTGCGTGAAAGAAAAGATTTTGACTGCAGATACTGACACGATTCCGTGGGCTTGGATGGTTGCTCTAAAGGATCAGCCGACATTTGCTTTTTTACCTTTCTTTTTTAACCCTTTTTATCCTTTTCTTTACCTTTATTACCCTCCTTTTTTCTTCCAGGTTACAATACCATTGTTGTCAACTCTGTGTGCTATTACTGACTTTACCTCCTACGCGCGCGCACACACACTGTGGACTGCGTGAATCCCAAACGCAGAATTGTGCGTTGAAGGATGTGTTTGGTTGGAAGATTAACAAAAGATTCGAGTTGTAAACCAAAGGGTTCGTTTGGTTAACAAATAAATGTTGGAAAACAATGGAATTTTTTTCTTATTTGGTCAGCAAGAAAAGGGGAGAAATTACGGAAAGTGAGATCGTGAAGTCTAAATTTTTTGTATACGACGACACCTTTGATTTTCTGCAAAATTAACAGGGATTTTTTTTTTTTTCCGTGAAAATGTGGACTACTACGTTGCACACACTTGACATTTTTGTCCATACTCATCTCTTATCTTTTCCCATATATAGATATCAACATGAACAACAAAACTAACTAGGGAACCAAAAAAACAAAAGCTATCAACAAAGCTAAATTGATTTAATATAATTAAGAATAATTTAATTAAAATTTATTTTTTTATTTAAATTAATTTAATATAATTAAGGGTAATTTAGATAATTAAATCAATTTTCTTTTCTTCTAAACAATAGAATGAATTTTTTTTTAAAAATTTTACAAGTTTTTCATGCTAACCAAATAATTCATGAAACTATATTTTCTCTTATTTTCTTTTTTTTTTTAACTTTATTTTCTAAATTTTAACATCTCCATTTAAAGAGATAAAAACGGTGATATGTCAACCATGCATTCTTTCTACATTAATAATATTTGATATTTATTTATTTTATCATAATAGGTGGATAAATGTACGGTCTTTCAAGTGCAACATCTCCTTCAATATAGATAAGGATATTTTAGACAATTCTCAAAAAAAAATTAACAACTTTACTACCTTTCAAATAGTAGAATGAATTTTTTTTAAAAAAAATTTCTTTCAAAATTTTCATGCTAACCAAATATATGAAAAAAAATATATTTTCTTTTCTTTTTTTATTCTTTCACTTCACTTTCTACCATTTTTACTTTTCACCATTTTTTTCTTTTTAACCAAACGGACTTTATGAGGTAGCTTAAGTGGTAATAAGGATAACCTACAAATTCAAATATTTTGGGTTTGAAACTTGACAATTCATTGGGACCAAACCATTAGAGTTTTATCTTTCATGAATATCTTAGTTCCGGCGTGGATGACTTGTTTTTGAATGGATCGGGGACATAATTATTTGACGTGCGTGCAAATTGACCAAAATATTTCTACCTATTAAATTAAAAAAAAAATGGGGTTCTAACCTAGGAATTTTACAGAAAAATAAATAAAGTAAAAATTGAAATTTAATTTGAAAAACTAATTTAATACAGTACAAAAATAAAGAAAGTAGAAATTGTTGAGAATGATAATTTTCAATTTAATTAAGTCAATAAATACACTAATATTTATTTTAAAGTCTAAAGGACACGCTCTGATTAGTCGTTTGTTATTTGATTCAAACTAAGACCATTATTTTTTTATTTCAAAAACACCCTTGAAGAGCTTTTCGTGCCTAAAGCTTTGCTCATTTCTCTCTACTTGCTGCGTTATTTGATTGAAATTTATTTGAATTTGAAGAAACTTTCTTGATTTGAAATTAAATTATTTTAAAACCTTCTTTGTTTGTCTCCATGTATATTTATGCGAGTGCGATTGCCATTTATAATAACTGAAGGAATGTGAAAGAGATGTTTATCATTATTCGCTTCATTTTTTTGTTAATAAACAAATTGAGTATAATGTTTCTTGAATCGATGAAACATTCAAATTTACGTTCCTGTAGCGAAATAAGAACAAAAAATTACTAAGTTGAAGGATGAGTATGATAGAGAATTGTAAAGTTGCATTAATAAAGAATACATCAAGTGGATCATGTATTTGAATATTCAAAAATGGTGAATTTCTTCTATTGAAACACTGTGCCTTTGAATCAAATTCTTGCTTCTTTCTTTTTCAATTTCATTATCCAAAAAGTAAAACACATTCAATTTCATCATTTTGGTGGTTGGATTGTGGTGGCTTCTTGGTCACAAGTCGCCCTATCAACAGATAAGATTTGAACCAGATATGGGTCCATTCAAATTCAATTTAAATTTCTGTTATCGAATTCGATCTGTTTATCCAATAGATAGAAATATATTAGTCTATATCTGAATTTACTTATAATTGAACATCCAGTTCAATTATACGATCGGATTTATAATTGTATTCCACTAAAATTTTGACAAATAATCTTTTTTTTAAGATCAAGTACAAATAATCAATATGTAGAGTGAAAAGGTGGTTTCATCGACAAAGTGTTTGCTGTTGATTAGAGAATACTTAATTTTGTAATTAATTAAATAAAATTCTAGAAATTAATAAATGTGGGAAGGAAAGTTTCTCAAGTATTTTCTCCTAAAAATGATTATTTTATATCTTTTTGAGCATTGATTTTTTTACAAAAAATAAAATTAAATCACTCTCTATATTGATGGAAGATTTACTTGAATATATTGAATATTTTTATTTTAGATTCAATAAATTTTTATTTTTCACAATTGTGAAAATTCATCATGTATGATAGAAAAAACATTTTCATAATGAGTAAACCTAAAATATTTTTCAATAGTAATGTTATTAAAATCTAAAAAATTAATTAATTTAATAATATATTAAATGATAAAGTCTCAATAAAAAAAATTCCACAATTACAGTCACAATAAATTCTTTGAATCATATATCACTGTTATATTATTAAATTAATAACATTATTTTTTTTCTCTTTTTTGAATTAAAAGTGATGGTGTTAGAGACCGAGAAGAGTGAATTAAGAGCGTAGAATGAGCTCTATGTAATAACGACCTCTGTGTGTGCGCTAACGACCTGTGTGTGTGTGCGTGTGTGTGTGAATAAACATCGTAAACACAACAACACAAAAAAAAAAAAAAATGGTTCATGAAATTATACCAACTCATTTGATAATGGGCAGGCTCGTTCAAGCCTCGACTGATTTGGCCCCTTGAACAACTGGTCAGTCAATCTGATTTCAAGGCCAGTTGGTTTTCTTATCGTAGAAGTAAATATTAGACCTATTTATTAATTAATTAATTTATTAATAAATTATTACATCACGCATCACTACTGACGCGATGCGACGATTCCATCCAGTATTTCTTCATTATCATGCGATGCCATAGGGTTGCTGTCTTTCGCTGTAAACTTGATGCTGGTCTCATAAGCCGTCATGCATGCATGTTCTCTTGTCCCGTGCATGGTACGCGTGTCCCTGAATTATTCGTAGGATTCGTCAAACTGTACACCCCTAATTTGGCGGTGGACAGAAAAAGGCGCCGTCCTGTTCGCCGCTATATTCGCTTCAAAGAACAGAGGTGCAACTCGGCTGGATAGACGGGTTGATCGGTCAATTTTAATTCAATCTTAGTTATATAATTTTTGATTTTTGTTCTAATTTTTATCTTATCTTAATTTAAGTACTCAATTTGAATATTGTCTGAGTTAATTTAGACATATTCAGTTTACTTAATTCGGATTAATTTTGAGTTAAAAATCGAGTTAGACTCGAATTATTTAATTCAGATTGATAAAAGAGAAAAAAGTGACGAGTGAAAGAAGAAGACTGAAAGTGTAAGACGACTCAGACTAGTGATGAGTGAGATAGGCAAGCTGAGAGTCTGAGACAAGATGAAAAACGAGTGACTAATGAGAAATGAATTTGAGAGTAATGGAGGTACAGGGGTGAAGACTTGAAGTGAAGTGAAAGTTTAAACTCCGAAGAGTGAAGATAAATACTAATGCTAGTTAAATATATTTATATATTTATGCATATTCAGGTTCAACATGATTTTAATATTCGGGTTGAATCCGACAACCCGAAACTTAACTAAATTCAATTCATTTTAAAAAATTTTTGCCCAGCTTAACCTAAGTATTAAAAATTTTAACTCAAACTCTGTTTTTTTTTTTTCCGAATTGAGCTCGAGTTGAATTTGAGTTGGTCCGCCTAAGTTGCACCCATATCAAAGAAATATCAATTCCTTCTAACAAACAAAAATAAAATAAAATGTAATAATTCAATGGCACATTATTTTTTAGATGAGTGAGTCTCATTAATTTTTTTAATGGGACTCATTCATCTAATACTCATTCAAAAAATAATATACATTTGAATTATAATTTTTTAGTTTCACTTAAATTGTATAACATTTTTTCAGTAAAAAGAGTAATGCTACACACAATTCAAATAAAATCCAAGACATTATA